AGGCCTGGCACCCAGCGGTGCTTCCAGGATGTAATTCTTCTATGCAGCAATGAGGATAATCCTCAAGTTACGGACTCAATCCGTGTAGTTGCTGCCATCATCTTTCAACTTAGCTTTCTTCTGGGAACGCATTAAAATTCAAAGGAACGGTAGCACGGGCCATTGGTCTACAATAACATAGACATGCATAATAACTATCAGGACTAAGTTCATGGTAAATTAAAGTTCAATTAATCATATTACTTAAGAACTCCCACTTAGATAGACATCCCTCTAATCATCTAAGTGATCACGTGATCCAAATCAACTAAACCATGTCCAATCATCACGTGAGATGGAGTAGTTTTCAATGGTGAACATAACTATGTTGATCATATCTACTATATGATTCACATTCGACCTTTCGGTCTCAGTGTTCCGACACCATGTCTGCATATGCTAGGCTCGTCAAGTTTAACCTCAGTATTCTGCTTGTGCAAAACTGGCTTGCACCCGTTGTATGTGAACGTAGAGCTTATCACACTCGATCATCACGTGGTGTCTCGGCACGACAAACTGTAGCAATGGTGCATACTCGGGGAGAACACTTGTACCTTGAAATTCAGTAAGGGATCATCTTATAATGCTACCGCTGTACTAAGCAAAATAAGATGCATAAAAGATAAATATCACATGCAATCAAAATATGTGACATGATATGGCCATCATCATCTCGTGCTCATGATCTCCATCGCCGAAGCATCATCATGATCTCCATCGTCACCGGCGCGACACCTTGATCTCCATCGTAGCATCGTTGTCATCTCGCCAACTATTGTAACTGCGACTATCGCTACCGATTAGTGATAAAGTAAAGCAATTACATGGCGATTGCATTGCATTCAATAAAGCGACAACCATATGGCTCCTGCCAGTTGCCGATAACTTTGTTACAAAACATGATCATCTCATACAACAATTTGTATGGCATCATGCCTTGACCATATGACATCACAACAAGCACTGCAAAAACAAGTTAGACGTCCTCTACTTTGTTGTTGCAAGTTTTATGTGGCTGCTACGGGCTTCTAGGAAGAACCGTTCTTACCTACACATCAAAACCACAACGATTTTTCATCAAGTGTGTTGTTTTAACCTTCAACAAGGACCGGGCGTAGCCACACTTGATTCGACTAAAATTGGAGAAACAGACACGTGCCATCCACCTATGTGCGTAAGCACGTCGGTAGAACCTGTCTCATTAACGTGCTCATGTAATGTCGGTCCGGGCCGCTTCATCGAACAATACCGCCGAATCAAAGTATGATATGTTGGTAAGCAGTATGACTATTATCACCCACAACTCTTTTGTGTTCTACCCGTGCATATAACATCTACGCATAGACCTGGCTCGAATGCCACTGATGGGGAAAGCAGTAATTTCAAAAAAAATCCTACGATCACGCAAGATCTATCTAGGTGATGCATAGCAATGGGGGGAGAGGGTGTCCACATACCCTCGTAGACCGAAAGCGGAAGCGTTATGTAACATGGTTGATGTAGTCGAACGTCTTCGCGATCCAACCGATCAAGTACCGAACGCACGGCACCTCCGCGATCTGCACACGTTCAGCTCGGTGACGTCCCTTGAAATCTAGATCTATCTGAGGCCGAGGGAGAGTTCCGTCAGCACGACAGCGTTGTGACGGTGATGATGAAGTTACTGGCGCAGGGCTTCTCCTAAGCACTACGACGATATGACCGAGGTGGAAAACTGTGGAGGGGGACACCGCACACGACTAAAAGATCAACTTGATCAACTTGTGTGTCTATGGGGTGCCCCCCTCCACCGTATATAAAGAAGGAGAGGGGAGGTCGGCCGGCCCTCCTTGGCGCGCCCCCAAGAGGGAAATCCTTGGAGTCCTAGTAGGTTTCCACAAAAAGGGAGAGAGGGGGAAGGAAGGAGATGGAGAGGGATAAGGAAGGGGGGCGACTCAAGGGGACGGGGGGGGGCGGTCTGCCCTGGCCGCCCCTCTCTCTCTCCACTAAGGCCCATCGAGGCCCATTAGTACCCCGGGGGGTTCCGATAAACCTCCCGCACTCCGGTTTTATCCGAAACTTCTCCGGAACACTTCCGGTGTCCGAATATAGTCGTCCAATATATCAATCTTTGTGTCTCGACCATTTCGAGACTCCTCGTCATGTCCGTGATCACATTCAGTACTCCGAACAACCTTCAGTACATCATATCACATAAACTCATAATACCAATCGTCATCGAACGTTAAGCGTGCGGACCCTACGGGTTCGAGAACTATGTAGACATGACTGAGACACGTCTCCAGTCAATAACCAATAGCGGAACCTGGATGCTCATATTGGTTCCTACATATTCTACGAACATCTTTATCGGTCAAACCGCATCCTTTATCATCGGTATGTTACTTGCCCGAGATTCGATTGTCGGTATCATCTTACCTAGTTCAATCTCGTTACCGTCAAGTCTCTTTACTCGTTTCGTAATACTTCATCCCGCAACTAACTCATTAGTCACAATGCTTGCAAGGCTTATATTGATGAGTATTACCGAGAGGGCCCAGAGATACCTCTCCGAAACACGGAGTGACAAATCCTAATCTCGATCTATGCCAACCCAACAAACACCTTCGAAGACACCTGTAGAGCACCTTTATAATCACCCATTTACGTTGTGATGTTTGGTAGCACACAAAGTGTTCCTCCGGTATTCGGAAGTTGCATAATCTCATAGTTTGAGGAACATTTATAAATCATGAAGAAAGCAGTAGCAAAGAAACTGACACGATCATAATTCTAAGCTAACGGATGGGTCATGTCCATCACATCATTCTCCTAATGATGTGATCCCATTCATCAAATGACAACACATGTCTATGGTTAGGAAACATAACCATCTTTGATTAACGAGCTAGTCAAGTAGAGGCATACTAGGGATTATATGTTTTGTCTATGTATTCACACATGTACTAAGTTTCCGGTTAATACAATTCTAGCATGAATAATAAATATTTATCATGAACTAAGGAAATAAATAATAATTTTATTATTGCCTCTAGGCATATTTCCTTCACAGGCCCCTCCGCATCATGGTCGCCTTACGCAAGCTATCAGTACGACCGCAACACACGCCCAACCTATCACGGATGGACCGACCCGGCGTGGAGCGCCCTTTCCCGAGTCGTCCGGGCATATCAGAAGGCTCAATGAGGACCCCGAGAAGACTGGTGGCATGCCTGCCGGAAACAGGCGTGGGGCCTACACCCCAAAAGAAGGGCTCAATGGGTTCGTCGTGCGCAGGACTGCGCAGCAGCCCTTGCTCGCGGTCGCGGCGGCCACCGCCCAATGACGGTGGCCTCATGCGACCCTTGGAGGTCCACTGTCATGGACTGCCCGACAGGGTCGCCAGATGTCTAAGCCGTCCAAGCAAATTGAACAGCTTTGAGAGGCCATGAGAGATCATATGGCTCAGAGATGCCTTGAGAGATCAGAGCCACCCGCGCGAGAGGGACATCACGGACGCACTCGGAGCCGCCCAATGACGGTGCCCTCATGTGCGTCGGACAGTCCACCCGTCATGGCCCCTCCAGCCGGGTCGCCAAGGTCCGTGCCATTCGAGCAGATTGGTCGGCCCTGGGGGCGCCCGAGTGGCCCCCAATGCAAGTCACCAGCCAACGGAGGGCAAGGACGCGCTTTCGACCGCGAGGAGCCTAAGGAGGCGGGTACTCCAACATCCTTTATAGGAGTAATTACTATGCACTCAGTTCTTGCTCACAAATACTCGTGTTCCAATTCACCGTCATAATACTCTTGCTTGGAATCAAAGGTAACTTACAGACAGAACACAACAACCCTTTACAAGACGTAAATGACCATTTCATCAGTTTTTTGCCGGATCGATACTATCAAACAAAGTCTATTTTAATGAACAATCTAATGTTACCTAAATTATATTGACATTTTCCCAGTATCGATGATTCGCGAGATAATATCTATTATTCTTTTCAGTTATCTATCATAGTGAAATTGGTAGACACGCTGCTCTTAGAAAGTGGTGTTCAAGCATCTCGGTTGGAATTCGAGTGGCCGCATCTCTAACAAGAAAACAATAGATTAGAAATTAGTTTGAAATTTAAAATTTTGTAATGCTTCTAATTCACTACCATGCTTCGTCTGAAAATGGCAACTTTTATATAAGACCATTACATGGAACTGATAGATGGACATACTAATGAATACGACCAAGATAAAATAACTGGCTCGAGCATCTAATGGAACGTCGATAATGGAAATCACAAGCTCACGTGCATGCATTTCTCTCCCTATAGCTTCTCTGCTCGACCCCAGCCCGTCATGGCTTAAGTGCACGCATATATCCTAGGCATGAACGCATGACTGCCTAGACTTGCTCGACGAGGGTTGCCTTCTCAACCTTGTCAACTTCCCCCTTGGTCACGACGCGGGTGCAGGCTAAGCTGTTATCCTTCGTTGGTGGTGGCATCCCAGGTTCGATGGGATTGTGTGTGTTGAGCTCGATGGCAGCCGTTGGGCTAGGCTTAGCAATGTTGACGACATGCTCGGGCACCTTGATGGCATCAACATCGTCCACCTGCTTGGGCACCGGTGTAGGCATGGCATTGCGGTAGAGGGCGTAAAGCCCCATTTGAATCACACCGAAGGCGAACCCAAGAATGTTTGGTAGCTGCATGCAGATCAACGCCAACAATTAAAGAAGGGAAGTTGAGTTACGATGAACTGGGAGATTTTAGTTGTGTTGTTCACGTACGGCAACATATTTGTCCTTGATGAGGAGGCCGTAGAGGAACCAGACGACGGCGCTGACGGTGAGGGAGAGGGAGAGGGAAAAGGGCATGAACTCCACGCTCCGAGTACGCACCACAAGGCGCTGCAACAATCAAGACTTGTAAGAATCAATCATGGATCAACAAACTAACACTCTAGAGGGAGGATGCTCAGTCGCTCACGATGACGCTGAGGGGCGCGACGAAGACGCTGACAGAGAAGCCAACGCAAACCCACCCAAGCATGACAACGCGCTTCTCGCCCTCCGACAGGAGCAGGGTGAGGAGGAGGATAAGACCGAACACACCCACATTCAGGAGAAGGAGGATCTTCGCCGTGAAGAGCTGCATTGATGAGCATATTTTTATGTTAGCCGCATGCATTTATTGCGTGGATCTAATAATATGTGATTTTATGCATCAATCAATGTAGAGGCCGAACCTCTTCCGAAGTAAAAATGTGCAACTGAGGTGCAATCGAGTACCTTGGCTTGCTTTGGTGCATAGGTGAGGTAGATGATGATATAGATGGTCTCAATGACACAGCCGGCAGAGTTGATGGTGATGAGGAGGCACTCGTCAGACTTGAGCAGCGCGTAGTAGATCCACAACATCGCGCTGAAGAGCGCCACCACGTAAGGGACCGATTGGAACCCCTGCGTCGACTTGCTCCGGTAGATTCGGTAGAATGTCGGCCTGCATGCCGTACCCACATGCACCATTAGTTTCTTGTGAAACTAATCTAGAGAGAGAAACGATGTTGAGTGTCATCAAGAGGCTTACAGTGGGGCCAGGTAGGTCATGAACGAGATGACATTGCCTGCAGGAAGCAAAGTGGTATCGACAGTTAGCCGGCGAGAACAAGGAGACACATGTACATACGTTACACAATCCCCACTTAATGGCTAGCTTTCTTGTGTGGGTGACGTCGGTGAGGTGTCACGCTACACCATAAGAAAATGTGTAAATTGAAGGCCTTTAGTTTACAACTTTCGTTCCTTTTTCTCAACTTTCTTTTTGTTTGCCACTTGATGTGCACCTCTTATAGTTTACACAAAAATAATTAATAAATGGCGGGGTCGGGGCAGAAGAATGGATCACTACGTCTGCGCAAAAGAGGAAGGGTCACATGCATCCATACTACACGTGATTTTTTCTTGGATGCTCAGAATACTAACAAAGGTGGAAATATTAGTTTTGGCAATGAACTATTAGTTCTGGCAAACCATATTGAACAAATATGGACATAAAACAAAATGCCATAAGTAAGAACTCTTAAAAGATAGTACTCCCTCTGTCCGAAAATACTATTAGTTTTGAGAAGGATGTATTGAGGTGGACATAGATATACCTAGGAGGCCAAAGGCAAAGGCCCACGGGTGCTGAAGAGAGAGACCACCCATTGCAAGATCTTAACTACCTTTGAAGTTTATGAGGAGATCACAATGAGATTGTTCTACCAGGCTAGCTAGTTAGGATGATAGTCAGGCTTCAGGATTTTCTCTCCCTTGTACAGATGGTTCAATGGGAAGAGAAGAACTGCCAGCCTACTACTTGAGGTTGTTGCTTGAGAGCGTGAAGGGAGCTGGAGCTTGGATGGGTTTATATAGTGCTAGCAAGGAAGCTTATGCCTTATGGTGTGTGACTCCGATGGCAAACACAAACTGTTCCTGATCAATCACAGCCATGGGGCCGCATTAAACAAATGACAAGATAATCATCACAATGGATGACACAAAGTGCCTATCTTACACTCTTTCTCTCTCCGTTACCTCTCTAATCCCTATCTTACACTTCAAGTTATCCTAGATAAGGGCAACCTAGCCGTACATGGAGAAGCCAAAGAGCTATAGCAGCCGCGGAGCTGCAAAGGATCACATGTGTTTCTTTTTGAACCGGCCTTGTGCCTAGTTAAAAGATAGGCCAATGTCCAACTCTAGTTGTTGTAAATCATCAGATGAGATCCAAACCTTTTGTTTTTCAGGAAATACCAAGTATACCCCCACAAAAAAAGGAAATACCAAGTACAACTCGCAGGTGAAAGTTACTTCAAATCCACTGATGATAACATTCAACAACAATTACTTAACTGCCACTCATATAATTCTACATTTTTTGGAGCTCGGTCAAATTTCTAAACAATAGCTGGATTGGCTTTTCTTCTTGATATTCCTCCCGAAAATGATCGGAAGTGGCAGTGCTCTCGCGTTTGGGTGTCTCGGGTGGCAACTATGGCCCCCTTTGTCGGTGAGTAACGACACCTACTCGAAGGAGGATGCCGTACAAACATGTAATCCTCCATGATCGTAAAACTACCGTATCACCTTCACCAACGATGAGATCTTCAGGCAGCACACATCCCTGTAATTCCTTCCACTACTCTATGTACAGTGTAAGATCGGGTGGTGCATTAATCGTCAACATTTGACGTTCCCCGTGGAGCCTGATCCGATCTAAATCAGAGTCCGATCAGATCTTCTGGTTATTCCACTTATCGGTGAGGCGGGGGGCTAGGACTCAAGCTACCCCTGAGGGGATCGAACTCAACTGCTCCCCTGACAACAAGGAGCACTCAATGAGGAACTAGACTATATGATGGCCCAACCAAAGCCATGACACTCCCGTGGTCCATCGCATGGTCTTCCAGCTCTCCAGCACGAGTAAACATAGCTCGGAGCGCACCATCCCTGCTTTCTTAGGTACCTGCGATTTTTCGACCATATTGACTCCCGTTAGGGCGGAGACGCAAGCACCGGATAAGGATTCAGGCCAGGTCGCTTCACCAGAGGACCGCACCCTACCAGGTCCGATCCGAAATTCATCGGATAATCACTAGAGTATTGTTCGTCATGTGCTCGGTTTTTCAGCAGACTGGTTCTCAAGTTAGAGGAGCCTGGAAAGGCCCCCTCGAAACAGGTCGTGCCCACCACGCCAAATTCTCGCATTGCTTCCGTCTTGGGATCTCTAATGGTTTGGCCCTAACAAGTTATGTTGGATCTTGTACTTTCCGTGTAGCTTGATCCGTACATGTTTTCACTATAAAGCGAAGAGAAAACCTACTTTATGAAAAACTTATCGACGAGTTATAACGGCTGACTTATCACGTGGTTTATAGTTTGTGATAAGCTCACATCTTTCAAAAGTTATCTGGCACGCGCATGTGAAACAAGATTATCTAGCGCCCGCATGTGAAACATGCAATGTAACAAGTAACGCTAGGAGTTATCAAGGTTACTTGCAAGATTGCATACATGAATAAGTTCTCAGTCACGAGGCAGCTGAAACAACACGTACTACGTACCAGCTGCACGTAGCAACTGTGCGTATCCGTCGGAAGTGGGCATACGCCAGTTCCTTTGCTTGCTTCCATGACCGATGTTGGAAGGCTTGCTTCTTGTGCCTTTCCTTACAGCCTTTTTCCAAATCATGAAATAGTTCTGTACTGTATTGAACAAATTTAATTTAAGAATATGTTCAACATACTACTTCCTCTGTCGTATTTATAAGTTTTTCTCATATACTGGATCTAATTTTGAGTACAAAATGACTAGTGAAATATGAGATATACAAAAATATCAAATGATATACTTTTTATAATATATACTTTGTGTTTAATTAGTCATATTGATGGACAAAGTTTAAGCTAGAATATGGAGGAAGTATATAAGGAGGACACTGCACACACATATGGTAACAAAAGCTTTGACACTTTCACTGCTTTTTGACCATGGGTCGATACATCGATGCGATTTAATTAAGGGGCCTCATGATCATGATTGAGTAAAGAAAAAGTCGATTGGAACTTGGGAGGAGCAAAGAACGGCTCTCAAATTTTGCTTTTGCTTTTGGGAAAAGTTATCTGCTCTCTGTTGGTGAATTAAAATGTTATGCGACGTACATTCGCCATCTGGTCAGAAACACGGTCACGCACATAATTTTCACCACATCTTATGTATACTACTTTCTTCAATGGTCCATTGATTTTCCAGATTGTGCGGTGCAACAGATAGCCGCCAGGCCAGCGTGCAGCTGTTCAGGTGCTTTCCAGTGCACTGCCAAGTTAATTTGTTGCGTATATCTACAAAGTAGTCCTCTTCCATAGGTTTTGCTGCTTTGCGTACTTTGCCGGCTGAATTAATAGTCCATCTTCAAACAGACAGCCCGGGCATGGGGAAATATGAGATGATACCACCCTTTTACATGCTTTGATGCTCCAAAGTTTGAGAAGTCACATTTAAACTTTTGGAAAATTCTGAATTTTTTTTGTGATTTTTCACAAGACATGTGCTTACAAACCCTGAAAAAAAATCAGATTCTAGTTCAAAATACACATTGAGCAACAAAAGATACAAATCTAGATGTGAATATTGTCATTTCAGATACTATTCATGTTTTGTCTTCTTTTGAGAGTATTCATGCTAGATTTGCCCTTTTTGTTTTGCATTGTGTTTTAAATTATGATCTGAAATTTTTAGGGGTGATAGATACATGTCTTGTGAACATTCACAAAAGAAATTACAATTTACTTTAAAAAAATCAGAACGTACTAGCTGATGCCATCTCACACTGACTACACAGGTTGTCAAAAGGAGAGATACTGACATGCCAAATCAATTCGTTTTCCACGGTTTAGGCAACAAGCTAATACAGTTAATCTTTGGTACAACATGGAAATTTCTTTCGTCTGACCTTTTTGACGCACTTCCGAGCCATCCCAGCCGCTAATCTTCAATTAACTATTCTGGCAGGAAGCAAAGGATGGTCGAGCAGTAGCTGCTTTTGCCTGTCCGGCAACTAGCATAAAAAGCATGGTTTAAAGACCAAAGGAAAATCCCTTTTCAGGGACGTATCATAGATTCACTGCGCGTCCAGATTCAGTTCGTCGGTGAGCTAGCTAGAAGAATTAAACCATTTTCCCGTCTCAGCAAAAGCAGAATTATTCCAAGTCAAGACATGAAGAGGAAGATGCTGGACATGAAGAATATTCTCCCCCGAGGTATTTGCGATAGTACGCGTGCGTGAGCGGGTGGGAGGACATGAAAAAAGAGAGACCCTTTTTGCCTACTTGGTTGATCGCCGTTCCTTTTATCAATGCATGTTTCCGGCTGTGGTCTGAGATTTGCCTTTCCACAGTGTTTTCTCCTCATGAATTCGTTGACGATTTTCCTAGGGAATTTAGTCGTCACTTGCATATGTACTTCCTACACCTTGGTTTATTGATCCTTCTCATATTTTGTGTCAATTTTTTACTATAGATTTGTCTAGCAAAATATGAGGTGTGTGTCGTAAAGAATGTATTGTTGGATTCGTATTCAAAAGACGTTCTCAGCTATACTAATTTTTGGTATATAACTTATATATTGCTAGTTAAATTTAAGGTGAAATTTTGACTCAAAATATAAGCAGGCTAATAAATCCGAACAGAAGAAGTGCTCACCTCCAACAAAGTTGTTCTACAATTATCCTACCTATACACCTCAGAGAAAGGGATTCCAGTACGTGACGTACGTTATGAAGTCACCTCCAACAAAGTTGTTCTACAATTGAGGTTCAGCTTTAAAAAATATTCCAAAAAGTTTAGTGCCCTGTAAAGATTGAATAAAGGACTGGCATCATGGCCTCATAATGCCAATAATTAAGATATCAACAAAAAGTAGTGGAAGATATTCCATTGTAAGCAGTGTTGCAACCGTACAGAATTGCCATTTGGCATCTTCAGACAGGTCCGAGATTGCGAAAAATGACGTAAATCTGATTGCCTTCTAGGAAGGCACGTGAACCGCTCCGAGGCAACATCCGGGAAATATCTTGAGAAGCATGAGTGCTACACAAATATCTCCACAAGTTTATCTCAGGAAATAAGGGGAGGGGGACACCAACGTATACGTCGCCGGAGTAAAGGATTGGCCGTATGACACTGCAGATCAGCCGAGGCGACGACGGCGGTGGCAAGAATGGACTGAGCCCAAGGCGACGGTGCAGATGGAGGTGCCTAAGGTACTTAAGGATGGTGGTGGGCGGGTGGGTCGTGGGCGAGGGACCAGAGCGGACATAGAACAACAGAGCAGGTGCATATCCAGTGTGCCCCAACGAGAGGCGGCATGGTATCGACATCGGCCATTGGTGGCAAATTTCAATGGTTAGGCTCGCGATGACAGGTGGGCGACAATGAGGTAGATGGTGAAAAATGACAGCAATGATGGTGGAATCTAGCGGCAGTTATGATACTGACTAGATCTACAGCGGTTGTTCTCCTCCTCCTCCTCCTCATCCCCCTTTCAAACAACAGAATGACATCGGGCGGGGATCTCCAAATTTGATTCAGGGGCAGCTCCGCAATAGCCGACCGCGAAAACACTTTATTTTTCCCCCCTGGTCGAAGCTGGATTGGTGTTTACTTGGT